TTTTTTTAAAAATCATCCTGGTTGGAATGAATGTACAATGATGATGCGTAATGTGAACAGGAAACTATAGATTCATCATTGTCAACAAGCCAACCTTATCTATGCTTGAAAAGTTATTAAACCCTGACAGACTTTTGGAAAACTCCTCTCACTTCTACTCATTCTCTTTTTAGTCCCACTTAAAGTAATGTCTCCTAAAGGAATTCTGAAAATGAACAGAATTATCATTATTCCTGGTAAACACATCAGCTGTTTTGAAGTCATATGTTTATATATACTATGTGTGAATACACACACACACATCCACATGCACAGACACACACTGGGATGAGAAACCTATCATTCTTAAGAGATTACTGATCCTTGACACCAAGCTGATCCAGGTAGCTTGTCAGTGGTGAGGGAGAGAGTTGCATTCAACAACATGTAGAACACCACAACTTCTCCACTCCATACAGTGATATTTTTCTTAAGTTGCTCATCTCAAGAATCTTGACTGGATTCTTCTTAATAAGCATAGATACCTCTCATTGTCTACTGCTCATTCACATCCCCTCTGCCCCTACCAACACCATAGTACTGCACAAGTCCTGACTTTTATGGAACTGAGGTTAAAGGCAGTCCATAGTCAACAGGACTGAATTTAGCTGCTCAAACCTGGCCAAGCATGCTTGACATGGAAGCTCTTATGAGATCCAAGGTTGGGGTATATATCCTGATATAAGGACATAATGAAGAATCATTGGCTGAAAGAATTGTGGTCCCTCTCTAGTCTCTCTTTAAGTTGGATGATGATATTCATAGGATGATTTCCTGACAGTGTTCCTTGAACCCCAGGTAAAGAACCACTGCTGCCTTAAGTCCTGACATATACTAGTTTTGTACAATTTTTTTAAAAAAAATCTGATGGATTTGAACCATCTGTAAATCATGAATTATGAACCCAGCATTTTGGACATTGCTCAGATTAATAGAAATTGCAAAGCAGTTGTGCAATGTGGGGAAGGCCAACTATGCCAAGCAAAGATATGTAGGAATTCTCTCCTATCTTTATTTTGTACACCAAATCAGAAAGGGTTAATTTTCTCTACTGGCCTCACTGGTGGACTTGCTGTCCATTTTCCTGCTGGCGATTAGATTCTTCATGGCTATTAGGTTGGTTTGAATAACTTCTTTGTGAATTAGAGTTTTCCCACGTCCCTCCACAAGCCGAGCAGTCGCGTGTCCTAAGTCAGAAAGGAGTTGGAGCCATGAATTCGTAAAGGAACCTGATTTTTAAAACTTTTTAAAAAAACTAGACATCTGCCTTGGAGGGGATTCACTAACATCTGCCATATTTTTTTGTTTTGTCTGCTAGTTTCAAGCCTCCCTTTCTTCTCATCTTAGAAAAGTACAGGAACAGATGTTTAACGTTTTCTTTTAAAATAATGTGAAATATAGACAAATACTGAAAAAAGGGAAGGAGGGTTAAGATGAACCCTCCACTGTTTTGGGAACCCAGAAAAAAAATATAGTTTTGCAGCTCAAGGGAATGTAACTTTTTACTGAAAACCAGGCAACATAAAAAGGAGAAGAAAACAAATCACAGAGTAGACCCTTGAATAACGTACAGACACAGTTGCATTTGCATTCCTATTTCCCACTCAGTTACACAGACAAATATCATACTTTGCCTGAATGAGAATGATTATGCAGTTTTCCAAGTTTCAACACTATCCATAAATGAAAAATTTAAAAAAAAATCTCCAGCTATTCAGTATCATTCTGTAGGTTCCTATATGAATAAAATTTTATGCAAATACAGTAATCACATAGGGTAACAGATCTTGGCCTACAGCAAGTAACAGATTTGGGACCAGGTAGATGCATGGAAGATTTTTAATTTGATACATTTTTTTTAATTAAGAGGTATCTGGAAATTTTATAGTTAGGACTAGAGTTGCAAAGTTGAGAGGGTTTTTTTTTTTAATGTACTTTTTTACCTACATGCATTATGTAATGAAAACAGCTTTTCCCCTGAAAGTCTTAATAGCTATAAGTGGGAAAAGGATAGACATGGTTTAGGATGGAGAAATAGTACTACTCCAAGAACTACATCTTCAATCTACATTGCTCCCCAGTTTCTTTCTTCATCTCTAATTTGGCCCTTACAGTGACAGTGTCTCCAGTGTCTCCAGTTCAAGTATTAGTCAAGAACTCACTCCAAGATTCACACACTGTAGTAAGTCATGAGGCAGTTGGTTTACTTTTGGTTTAGTATATTTAGTATAACCCAGATACTATGGGTTGTGAGCCATGGTTCATGGCTTAGTATGGCACATAGTCAATCAAAAAATGGTGTGTGAATCCAAGCGATTCTGCTAAGTCAATGAAATGCAGATAAAAAATGTACAGCACAGTACTATGTGACAACTCAGTTTTAGACTTAACTTTGTTCCCAGTTGTGCAGAATAAACATAGGGATACTATAATAATGTTGATCCTTCATAACAGTAAAACAGAATCATACACAAACAGGCAAAAGAATTATGTATCCCTCAAGTCTAATATGAAATATAAAGAAGTCATTTAGAACCTGTATTAAAGGAAACTTGATCTCATTAGAACTTGCTAGCCCAAAATTGCCATCCTGAATGCAAAAATAATAGAGCATTTTTTTTAAACTTCTATAGTTTGTTTACAAGACTAGCTCTTTACTGGAACTAAGTTATTTAACATGCAAAGGTATATAGAATCTCTTGATGACATCAAAAAATCTGTCTATAATATAACATAAACTTCTATAGAACTAGTGAATTAATCCACTCTGGATTACTCATAGAATTATAGGATGAATGGAAGTAGTCTCCATTATAATGCTAATCTTTACTCATAAGCCACAAAGATCATGAAAAAATAGTGACCTTTCAAAATTGAGCAGATATTTAAGCAACAATATTTAATGACTAGAAAAGTGTCTATAAGTAAAAGTTCCATACATTTACAATGTTATGAATCCCTGTCCATAAGAAGTTTCCAAATTATTCCAGTAATGGCTCCAATGTATTGACACAGCACTTTTCACACAATGCAAACCAAGTTGTAGATTGTAGTATCAATGCAAAATAGTGGTCTTCTGAAATTGTGCAAGTAAAATAAACTTTGCACTATTGTTATTTTAAGTATTTTTTTTAAATGTACCTTTCAATAGTCATTAAGCAAATTGCCTATGGCAAAAATGCATGTTTTCAGGACTACCTTTCCACCACAGACTTCAAATTAGTGGCAAGTTTATTTAGTTGGAAAGTCATTGCAACACTATAAGCTATATGTTTCTCAACAGAAATGATTCTACCTAAGACAGTTCTCTGTTTCTGGAAAAGGGGTTGGTGTATCTTGCTATGTCAAGCAGGGTAGCTCTGCTCATCAGGATATAATCAATCCACTTTTCATTGTTCCTGATTCTGAGGACATATTACTCCCACCAAAGATAACACAAAAGATACATCCTTCAGCATCATAGTCATAATCTACTTTTCAACAGGCTGAAAACAAAACCACGTGTCTGATGTTTCTCAGTCCTATCTTCTTCTATATACTGTATATGATATGATTAGCCCTCAAGATGAGTTCCTGGATCACCAAGTGTAACAATAGTTTCCTCTTTGCTACTTTCTGATATTGAAGAAATATTCATTAGATCTAGTGAGGATTTCGCAAGAAGTCAGGAAAAAAAAAAAATAGAGGCTCCATAACTCTTCTCCAGGATAGAAGATGTATGTTTGCATGCAGCAAAAAGTGAAAGAACAAAAGTTTTCCTTAAATTTTCCACTGAATAAATTGCATCAAGAGTGCAGGAATATAAAAACTATTTTTTTTTCTTCCTGGCGTTTTTCCCGCAGGTGCAGGGTCTACTTTTTCTAACTTTCCTAATGTAGAAAACCATGTAGATCAATGGTTTCCTAATGCAGAAAACTATGTAGAACCTTCCTAATGTAGAAAACCATGTAAACCAATGTCATGCTTCTGGTTCTTTATTATTACTTTTTAAATTTGTTTTTCCAACATGCATTTTTAAATCCAATCTTCTAAAGTTAGAATTATACTTGTTAATGATAAACTTACAGGTTAGAGAAGTAATTTGTAGAATGTATTTATCCAAGAAAATCAAGGTATTTTTATACAGTATGAAAACATGGTGTTAGTAGGTAGAAACTGATATCATTTAACCTATCCTTGATACAACTCATCAAATAATTATATACAGGTTTGACAATTCCTGAAAACTGTTATGTTAATTAAAGAAATATTGTAATAGATTGTACAATAGTTAACCAATTCTCCACCTGATTTCTTGTTCTACTTTAATTTGTTCAAAGTAAGTTTTGGTTTTTAAAGATTATTTTATGGTGTATTTGAACTCTTAAAGATTGATACAACTTAAGACAATAATATGTATTTTAGAAACCTATGGTTAGAAATCCTATGCACATATTCCTAGGAATAAACTGAATGTTCACAATGAAACTTATCTAAAATAAACATCCCTAGGACTGATAATCCTCATGTCACCTTTAAGGGCTACTGATATATGACACTAATTATTAAGTCTGCTGTTACATTTTGGAGTGGGTATTCTATTTATAAATTATTATCACAGAAAAATTCCAGGATGTATTCCCCAACCCTTTCTGTGGGCAGCAATAACTTTTCCATCATGGATTTATAATGAACCAGAAAGTCCCTTTGTAGTCAATGGGTAGACAAAGGGACCGTGCCCCTGATCCAGTGCCTGACATCACATAGCTTCCTCAGCCCTGCTCCTGATGTGCACATGTGGAGAATGATCATTTGCAGTGAGCAAAGCTTCTCATGCAATCTTTTCCTATGGTGATAATTCATCTGTGGAAAGATATTGGGAATGGTGCCCTGAAAGTTCGCAAGATCATGAGCTGTGCAGCCCCATGCTCTCAAGATCCTTCCAATTAAATATGACAAAAGTTTGACATTCACTAGTCATTGTACTGAAACTACATTTGTATTCAATGTATGAAAGAAGGCAATACAGAGTTCCTGTCTAAAGATTTGTAATGCTGGCTCAAGCATTTCAAGGGGCAGAAAAAAGGTGAGCAAAGAAAAATCCATATACAAAGCTAGTACATCCACTAACCCCAATAGCCCAGGTATTCCTCAGTAGGTTATGATTTGGATTATTGGTCCCCCCCCCCCTTGGGAATCAGTGCTGATTGAGGAGGGAGCCAAGTAATCTCCAGCACTTGTTTTCTGCCTCCTCCTTAAACAAAAGATTTCTACCAAGCAAAGCTTTGGTGGGGCTGGACATCTGTCGCTCTTTAGGCACTGTGTATGTGTGTGATCTGGCCATTGATAAGTAGTGACCTGTCAGCCTTGATTGATGGCCACAAGCCTCTGGTCTCAACCCCTCCTGTGGGAAAAGGAGACCAGCTAAGCAATTTCCTCATTCACATGCTAATACCCAGCTATAAATGCAAGCAGAGCGCAGCACTCATGACAGAGAAAGCTCCAGAAGGCAAGGGGAGAAGCCAGCTGCTATAGGGCTTTCTCCCTTTTCTCCCCTAAGCCTTAAGGTGGACGTGCAGGACTACAATGACAGCTACAACCCTAGCCAGCAGTGGGCAGAAACTTTCCAACACCAAAGAGGAAAGGAAGGTATGTCATATTTTATAAATAAATTCAATATAAGAAACTTTCCATCCAAAGAGACCAAATAAGGTATGCCATATTTTTTCAATGGCTCTAGGGAGTGTGTTAAAGAGCTGTCTGCACATATATGTTTATTATCTACAAGTGTTTCTATGCTTTTCCAAGGATGACTTCCTTCTAGTGGGTAATCACTTATCTCGGACCCTTGATAGAAATAAGATCTGTAAGTGCATGCAGCAGGTAGAGAACCCAAGGTGCAAAATGATGCACTGTGCAGAAGTGCTGAGTGTGGATCAATCTATTTATATACACATAGGTATTAAATATATAGTATAATAGAGCACTTCTTTGGCTGTAGGATCCAGTAGAAAAATAGAGCTATATAAAAGCAGACAATATTTATGGACAGTCTTAAAACTCAAAATGTATATTGTTAGAAAAATGAAAAGCATGGGGGTACTGACTGACTTGGGTAATCTACGTATTATGATTTTCATCACAATAACTTAAAGCTCTTTAGGGTTAAAAAGGTTGGCTGAGTGAAGAGTAGCCAAGGAATACAAAGCTATCAATAAAATCTGACATTACAGTATATGAGATAAAGGGAAAGCAGATTATACTTCTGAGTTTTAGAAACTGCACTCAGAAACCATTTTCTTGATAATGGGGTTGTTAGCAATTACAACACTGCAACCCTTTTTAGACTGATCTGAGAATATGCTTCACTTACTAAAGTTAAGACTTACTTAATATATATGCATATCATATACCATCAGTTTGCTTGACTGGATCTATCTAAAGCTGCGCTAGATATGTGGGTGTTATAACAGAGAATGTTCTAGAATTGTAATTATTTAACTACAAATATTGCCTGACAGTTCCTATATATTTTCTGCCATTGCATGATGAAAGAATCTGCTTTGAAAACCCATGCCTTTTCCCAGTGAAGGCCTATGTGGATTTGAACTGAGAAATCCAGCAGCTCATAGAATGATCCACAGTGCCATTCCTAATATTCCTCATTAATTGTTTCAGTTAAGAAAACCTTTGATTGAAAGGAAACGAAGAGAGAGGATTAACAATTGTTTGGACCAGCTCAAAGAAACAGTTGTTGGAGCCTTTCGGCTTGATGTAAGCAGAGATTTTAACATTTTTCTGCTCCCACTTTTCCCCATTTCCATCTATGTTTCATTTTTCAGCAGCTTTCAAAGAGGATATTTGTTAATAATTCTTGGTGTTATTTCATTTTAAAATAGCAATCTAAACTTGAAAAGGCAGATATCTTGGAAATGACAGTAAAACATCTCCAGAATATCCAACACAACAGAAATATAGGTGAGTAGATGTTCTGTACCTGTGTACTGGCTGCAGCTACTTCTACTTTATATATGAAACCCAACTCAATATTTTGGCAAAGTTGTCCAAAGAAATAATGAAGCAGAAATGAGAGAGAGAGAGAGGAAACAAGAGATGTATATATCTAGCTTCATATTAATGAGGTTGTACATTCTATACAATGATGACACAGCATAAAGATTGTGGGAAATGACCAGAGACATACACACAAATAGTCTGAGTGGACATTTCTTCAGAATTTTATTGGGTTCAAGATTCTCAGTTACAAACCTCCCTGGCCCCTTTTTCCCATTATTCAGGGGGTGCAGTGTGTTCTTCACAGAGTTAATGTCATAATGTCGCCTTACCAACACAATGCCTGTTACTGTTTCGGCCAGATTAACCATGCGCCTTAGCCGTGGCTTCAGTTCTTAATTAACCCTTTCTGGGTGCTTTAGGTTTCTGAACTTTAGTCTGGGCTGAGGCCCAATCTGTGCCTCCTGCTGGGGTCCTTGAATTACTAGCCCCTCCTGGCTTGGCACTGTCTGTTGCCACAGCTCTTCATTTTGGTTGCCACCAGCCTTCTATTTCCCTGGAGTTGTTGGCTGCCATCAGGCTGCTTCTGAGTTCCAAGGCTCTGGAGGAAAGAACAGCCCCTTCTCTTTCTAGTCCCCTCTACTCCCAGCTAAAAATGCTATGTTTGAACTGCTTTGCTTACTATGGCTGTGCAGGGATCACTGACTTCTCTCCTCCATAAGCTTGCCATATACAGTACTTCAGTAGCCCATGTTAGGTACCTTTTACTTCGTCGTACTATATGGCTGCTGTCCAAGTGTTAGCTTCTTTGATAGATAGACCACAAGGAGAGTCTCCATCTTTACACAGTTGTACTAACACTGCCTTCTGTCCTACATCAGAAGTGGCTACCTCAAGAGAGGAAATTCAGGCAGAGGCAAGTCCCTGAAGAACAGGGCTTTGACATAAGAACTCTTTTAAATCTTCAAATGCTTTTTGGTACTCTGGAATCTACTTATCTGTTTTGGTCCTTGTTTTCAGGTTGGGTCAGTAAGAATATAAGCCTGAGTGGAATAATTGGATGTAATATCCAGTTAGCCCTAGCAAAGTTTTTATCTCTTTCTTAGTCTGTGGGAATTTTGCTTACTGAATGGCATTCAGCTTCCCTAGTTTGAATTTAGGGAATTCCTGTTTCCCACTAGGAACCCTAGGTATTTTAACTCTTGATATCACAGGCAACACTTAGCCAGCTTTATTCTAAGTGCACGCCAGTATATCATCAGAGTAGGCCTCATATATTTTTCCCTTGCCAGGATTTTATCCATAAATCTTTGGAACATGGCAAGGCCTTGTGTGCGCAGAAGGACATTTTGCTGAAATGAAATAGCCTTGGGGGTAGTGAATGCCATTTTTTCTCTTGTTTTCTTTTTCAATGATATTTGCCAAAATCTTTGCCAAATATGGGAACTTGCTCCATCTTTCTAGAAAATTGAGGCATTGGATAGCATTGGATAGCTGTTGAATTTAGCAACTAATTTCACATGTCATATGCCTGCACAGAATTGAATTTCAGCACTTGGCTTGGATACCAATACGTTCAATCACATCTAGGTTCAATTTTTCTCCACCGTGTCCTGTAATCTCTCTGGTAACCAGTAAGGTCTTTGCCAGATTATTCTATGTCCCCTGTATCAATGACATGTACCACCAACATGGTTGCTCCATACAACTTCTCAAAGTAGTTTAGAAGTTTGGAATATTTTTTTTCCAATATTTGAAAATGGCTCTGGCATAATGGGCTTCCATATCATCAAATCTTTATCCTGTAGCCCTTTTCTCCTTATAAATTGGTATTTTTTACATGCCTAACAGTGCCTACTGGGATCGCTTTCTATTTTCTGCCAGTAAAGTTTATTTAATATATGGTAGAGTGTTCTTTCTTTATTTAAATGTTCCCCAAAAGGGTTTTCCTGTGCTACCTGGAGAATTCTTTCAATATACAAGTGCTACCAGTAGCTGAACATTCCCTTGCAGAAAAAGATTTTCCTATATTTGGTCCAGAATGTTTTTAATACATTCATAGGTGTATTATAATTATAATCTTGTTTGCTGACCTGTATCATGCCTATTTGCAAATGAAGTTTAAAACAACAATTCCAATTATGTGCTGATAGATAATCCAAAACAGGAACTTAAATTCAGAATAATACCTACTATTATGGGAAAAGAGCCAGTCCAACAGATTTGAGTTTATATGCATTTAATGATTCAAAGCATCTCTCTTCCTCATTTAGCAGATTCTAAAATGGGTCTTGAAGCTCAGCAGAGGTACAGCACTGGATATATTCAGTGCATGCATGAAGTCCACAACCTCCTCCTGACCTGTGACTGGATGGACAAGACACTTGGAGCACGATTACTGAACCATCTGCTAAAATCCTTGCCCAAATCCAGTGAGGAGACTTGCAAGGCAGACCTGAAGTCTTCCACTTCAGCGAACGGCAAGGGAAATACAACAGGGTCCAGCCAATCTCAGGATCAGTTCTATCCAGCCGAAGTCAAACTGGGATTGAAAAAGTCATTTCAGCCACAACCACCATCACGATGTAGTCAGCATGAGTTGCCACCTCCCAGGGAGACCTTGCAACCTCATTTTGCACATAATAGTGTTAACATGGGGTCATTGGATATGTGGAGACCATGGTAAAAATGTCTTCAGGAAAAAAATTCTTTCTAATCTTAGACCCTCTTTTATATGTATCTTATAGATATGTCTCTTTAAAACACTTTTTGGAGCAAGTCTGCTCCTGTAGGTGTACTAAAGACCAGGGTACTTCAAGCCGGAGGAAATCTCTATGTAGCCTGCATTGTAGAAGGCTGCTATTATATTGTATTTATTGAATACATCTAAATTATTTTATAGAATCTTCTCTGGGGCTGTTTAGTGCATATGACATATAATGTTCCTTTTCATATGTTATTAAAAATTAACAATGGATTAATAAAAATAGAAATACAAGACACTATCATTTGTCCATCGTTTATATGGTTCTTTTCTAAACTCTCCCTTGTACATACCCCCTTCCCACCCTACCCCTTAACCCACCTCTCTTACAACAATAACAGTATGGAATATGCAGCATAGTTTATTTCCATTAATTCAGTGAAAATAAATGAAAAAGTCTTGTCTCTGGTATCTTGTTTTCTCCAGGCAGAATGCTTTAACCAAAACAAATGGAGGAGCTTCTAAGCATTTTATTTTCACCAGTCACTTGAGATAGTTCACTTTTTCAAGAGTGTGCACCACTTGATGTTGCTGACTGTAGAAGCTGGGACCCTCAGGACAAAAAAAAAAAAAAAACCCTGTGAGATCAGGTAGAACTTTACAGCTTTCAACAGAATAATAAAAATGTATAATACACCTAAAGTAGCTTGTGAACATATTGCTCTCTATTTTTATAGACTCTGTTTTAGTTAAGCTATTAACGTATTAGTTATTGGAGACATTTAGATTTTTTTTTTTTAAGTACATGGTTAAATTTCCTTAGAACATGAGACTCCTGGAGCTCTAAACACAGTAATATATCTTCCAATCTTCCTCTGTGTAAAAGAGTTTCTGTATTTCTCTTTACTAAAAGCACATACATCATAGTATCCCCAATTTCACATCCTTTAGATATTCCCATAATTCCCAACCAGCAGAGCCAAACTCTGGTCTCAACAAGTCTTGCTGGCACCAGATTGGAAAAGGGAACCTTTCAATAAACAGTCTGCATACTAATTAAGGATCCTCCTCAGGAATATGAGGCTAATTATACCACTGATTTAATGAAGATTTAGAAGAATGAATGTTATCACCTTGCATGTTAATACTTTATTTTTTGTGAAACTCTTTTTATTTTTTATCTTGCCTTCCTGAAGACCATTAACAATGATAGTGCCAGGATGGCAGGATCAGCAGCTGTCTTTATGAAAAACAGATATGTAATATCAGTGTTTAACCACTCTCACTTTTTCAGCAGATTCATAGAAACATTATGTTGGCACAAGCTCATCATTTGGTTGTTTTCCATACAGGCTGATACGTAACTCTTTACAACCTTGGCACAGAATGCATTTCTTTTAATCTGCCAGCATTTTTACTAGTGATATGCTTATTGAAAATTCAGTGGGACATGAAACTCTTTACTAACTTGTATTTTCACACTGCAAAAACTTAATGTTGTTGAATTTTGGTTAATCAAGTAGATGCTGAAGATAGAAGAGTACTGTCAGAATATTCATATGTTTAAAGTACTTAAAATAAATTAAGCAGAGTCCTAGGTTACAAATCTAGATAGTACAATTGTTTATTGAATAGTATGGACTAGATATTATTTGCTTCATAATGCCATTATCCCAATTGATCCTATAATCTTACTCCACTTCAGTGATATGTATGAAAAACTGCACTGGGCTGCCTGAGTGTTGTGGTTTAAACATACCTGTATTTGTTGAAAGACAGCCTTTGCAGAAAATGGTGTTATTTCAAAATAGCAGGAAGCCTGAATCTAATTTCATACACCAAGTCAACATTACCATTATCAAATGAGGAGTGACATACTCATGCCATTAAATATATGCACCACCCACCTTGTACTGTTTGTTGCCTAACTATTGTGAACCACCCAAGTCAGGCGGATTCAGGTAGTGTCTAAATATATTTGAATACATGCATACATACAATTTAAGTTGCTGATCATTGTCTCAAGGGAGCAGTCAGTCTTCTCTTTGGGCCAGGACTGATTGATTGGTTCTTCTTTCAGTCCATGGCACTAATCATAACTGTCTTGAAATCTCTATTCAAAGCTGCATCTCTTTCTTCCCTGATCTTACTCAGTATTCACAGCCATATATTACCACTGGAAAGACCATTGCTTTAACTATTCTTTGTTGTCACTGAACTATTTTTACCCTATAGTGAATTACTTCAAACATAAGTCCTGCTTGATTCAGAGGGGCTTGCTCCTAGATAAATGTGTCCAGATTTCAGCCATCATCTGAAAGAACCCCATGCAGAGTAGCCTTTGCATCTGCCATTTTTTATTTGTATGCAAAAGTGTGACTTTGGATTGTTAAATTTACTCATTACACTGAGTCGTGATTTGCTTAAATGATGGTTTAATAAACCATAATCGGCTGGGTTTAGTAACATATTAAAGCCATGAACTATCATTTATGGACCACTGTAGTTGAATTCTTACATCATGTTGGGCCAAAATGAATCAAATCATATTATGGCTTCATATGTTGAATAATTCCAGCCAATGTTGCTTCATTGATGGATATGTGGAAATTCCTTACAGTTCACTACAATCTACATCCCAAGGACAGTCTTACAATGGAACTTAGCAACTTGCTCAATTCATGACTTGCTCACAAATTTCACTATGGTTTATTTCCACATTAACATGTTGAGGCTAGCAGAAAGTCACGTGGTAGAAAACCAATTAAATTTATAAGATCTCATAACTATATGTAAGAGCTAATTATACCTGTTATCCTGCTTTTCCTGCCTAAATACCTCATACAGCTAGGCTTGGCAGCTGTGTTCTTACTTGCAAAATATAACTAGTGCAATGTTAATGTAATTACATGATTTTAATAAGAGCTCAGAATATCTGAGAGCAAATCAAGAACATATATTTGGAATATAGATCAGTGCCTATTTTCTTACTATAGACTGTTTGCCATTGTTTACCAAACTGATCCCAATGACTAAGTATTGACAGGACAAACAACTTGCAGTACTAGCTACAAGAATGTCATCAGGGAACATGTGCATACCATGCTCAGAAACTTCACTAATAAGCACTGAATTATAAAAATGATTATGTTGATTATGTATATTAACTGAAAATGACTTTATAGATAATAAATCTCATCCAACCCCCTACAATGCAGGATTCCATTAAGCCATCTCTCACCCATGGCTATCTAGCCACCTTCTGATAACCACTAATAAGAGTCTACCATGCGTTAGTGAGATTGTTCCATTGCTGAACAGCTTTTACTGTTAGGAATTCCTCCTAATATTCTGCCTGATCGTCTAATTTCAGCCTTTACTCCTTCTTCTGCTCTTGGTTTCAACACCCTATCTTGCACATGACAGTATTTTAGACATTTTTAGGCTATTGCCATACCAATCCTTAGCTCCCCCCCCCTTTTTTTTTGGCAAGCTAAACATGTCCATTTCTTTTAATTGTATCTCATAAAACTTGATTTTCAGACTCCTTTTCATCCTAGCAGCTTCCCTTTGAACTTTCTCCACATCCCTCTTAAGGTGTGGTGCCCAGATGGTACTCCAAGTGTGTTATTATTAATGCACCCCAAGGTTGAATTGGCCTTTCTAGCTGCTGTATCACATTGCTTGCTCATAGTCAACTGAGGTTCACTAGGATTCCTAGATCCTTCTCACACACATTGTTGTCAAGCCAGGTCTCCAGTATTTATCCTTTTGATTTTTCATTACTCAGCTGCAGGACCTTATGCTTGACATCACTGAGGCACTGCCCTCAGCTCTGTGCTATTCAGCATACTGATAAATTACCTAAATGGTAGAATGTAGGGGATGCTTATTAAATTTGTGATGACATCAAGCTACATGGCTTAGCTAATAATAGCTATACACCATCCTATTAGATTGGGCTCAGTGTTCAACCTGCTGAGCTCATCATAAGTTTGCCCTCAAAGATATTAGCTAAGCCATGTAGCTTGATGTCATCACAAATTTAATAAGCATCCCCTACATTCTACCATTTAGGTAATTTATCAGTATGCTGAATAGCACAGAGCTGAGGGCAGTGCCTCAGATAGATAGTCCATATCTATATGTCAGTATAAACCATTTACAAGCACTGTTTGGATACAGTTGTTCAATCAGTTGCAAATTGACCAGATTGTAATAATCCCTGGCCCACATTATTTACCTTGTCCACAAGAATATCATGAGAAACAAATGCTTGACTAAGATCAAGATATAGGACAACTATAATGTTCCCTTTTTGTATTAAACTAGTTACTCTGTCATTAAAAAAAGAAAAGGTTTGTCTGATATGACTCGTTCTTGACAAATCCATGCTAGTTCCTGGTAAGGATAGCATTCTTTCCTAAGTACTTGCAGACATGCTGCTTGCTTAGTATGTTGCTAGTTCAGGTATTAAATTATTTATAGTTTCCAGACTTAAAAGTAAGGTTTCTTCTTCCCCCTTTTTATCACTGGGATTATGTTTGCTCTTCAGTTGTTTGACTCCTCATCAATTCTCCAAGAATTTTTAAAAATTTCTGTTAGCAGCTCTGGGAACCTAGAACTGTATAATTCTTGAAAGAACATGTATATTTTAGTGTCTAAACATTATTAGTAATTATCCTGCATTAAAAAAGGGGGGGGGAATCATACTAGATCATATTAATGGCCTGCATTCTATTCTTAATGGTTAGTCAGACACCTATGGAAAGTCCCCAAATAGGATATGAAAGCAACAACAACTTCCTGTGGTTCCCAACCTTTTCTGTGCCCCACACCCCTAGGAAATGTTTGATTAATGTTCGCACCCCCTACAAAAGTAACATCACATTTGAAGATGAAGAAGTCTAATTTCTAATGTGGGTGAACAAACTGAACTTAGAAAAATAAGCTTTTAACTCAGTGCATAAAATTGTCATGCCCCCTGAAATTCCATCTCACACTGCCTGGGGGTGTGGGTACCCCAGGCTGGGAATTCCTCCTGTAGATGCTTCATAGCAAATGGTATTTGGAGGATGATTGGCTTATTATGTGAAGCCATAATATGGTTTGGGAGTTTTGGCAGTGTGTTGTGTGAATCCAGCCATTGTGATGCCTTGCTATTGGTGCCTATTCAATCAACTATGAATTATTTAACAAACCATGGCTAAATCTAAACCCA